GTAGGTGTCAACATTACATCTCTTTACCGATTCTGCATATGTCCACCAATGGATTTAAAATATCCGAACTGGTAAAGTACAAATAAATACAAAGTTTTTCTGGTGAAATGCTCGCTGGACACACTTTGCAAGCTTGTGGCTGAAAATGGCTTGATGGCAGACATAACACTGGTCAAGTCCAATCTGAATCAAGTAGACCGCCTTACCAGGGAGCTATAGAGATGGTTAAAACTACACAAAGAGGGAACTGAGCCAGTACAGACGGTATGTGCCACTATGAAGATCAAATTGGATGAAAGTCAGGTAGCTAATATCCACCTGGGCACAAAAAGGAACCTGTACTTTGTCAAGTTAGTACACTCTTCAGTATCACCAGAAGTTATAAAGTTGGTTGTCAGGAAATGTGAGGCTTACCAGTGCATTGGCAGAAAGGAAAGCTGGACGTGAGAGACAACTAGAGCAGGTTAGCAATGGGCATCATCCACTATGGTAGTAGACATTTTCTAATGATCATTGATTGCAAACCCTTGGGTTGCAATATGGCAACCACTATGTTGTCAAGATTCTGCCAGTGTAGTTTGCCAGTTAGACTCAATTTTTTTATGAATGGGGTCTGTCACTAAGAGAACCATATAACTTCCCAGTCCTTTGAAGATGAAACAACTACCAGCAGCCAAAATACTAATGTGTTTACAACTTGCTACCTCCCTTGGTGGCAGTTCATCTGAAGATGAAGCTCATGTTGTTCCACTTTGGATGAGTACCCAGCAAAAGATATCTGCTCCTGAGTGTATTTTTTGTGATCAGGAGATCAGTGAGGAGTGTGGTGAACAATTACAAAGAAAAATAAGTTCATTACCTCAACACACAAGATATAGCAGTGGCATCTTGTTCCTTGAAAATGGCATGAATCTCCCCCCACATTTAGATTATTCCGGAAGTGTATATTCTGCAACATTGGCTTTTGTACAGCTTAGAGTGGTTCAACAAAGAATGCTGATTGGCCAGTCAGCTGTGATTTTGGCATAATAAAAGAGGGCTGAAGCAGTGAGAAGCAGAGCTATTAATATGTTGGTGACCTGTGCAGGAATTCAAAAATGGCGTATTGAGAAGGAGCATTCAGTGTTGTATGAGTGGTGTCAGAAGGATATGACCTCATTTAACTACAGTCCCTATTATAAAGTAAGTAGTACAGTGAAAATTTTGTCTTCTCACAATCATTAAATGTAATTTCCACAAGCATCTGATAATATATAAATCCCATGATCTATTATTATTACTAATCATTTTTGATAAAAAAAATTGTGCATTATCCTATGTAATTGTTCTACCTCCCTTTTGCTTTGTGGGTGGTAGAATGATGTAATCATGTGATGTATATTTAAACAGCCTAGCATCTCTTTTATAATTTTATTAACATTCTCTGTACCATTATGTTACTAATTGAAGAGCGGCACCAAATCAAGGGAATATTTCATAATAAGTGAACAATTGTCTAAGCCTTCTTATTTGGTACAGCAAGCCTTGGGCCAACCTAAGTACATATCAACAAAAGTTACTATGTACTGGTTACCAGATAGGTGGGTGGGGAAGGTCTAGAAATATCTAAGTCTACCTTAGCAAAAGTATTGTACTCCTGCATATGGGGTTGGAGCTTCTGCAAATTTCTCATTTGGCAGGCTACAAATTCAACAACATCTCAAAACAGACATGGCCAGAAATATTTCAGTTTGAATGCTTTGAACATCTTCTCCATTCCCATGTGACCATTATCATCATGATACTCTTCCTAAGATGTGATGGTATGTAAAGCCTATCAGTTCGTCATCTGGTTAAGATAAATAATACACAACTTCATCCAACAGAATGTATTTTTTTGTTCTCTAACTTATTAGCCTTAGCCTTTTGACTTCTACATTTGAGTTCTAAAATCTCTCTATCTGCCTCCTGCTCCCTAATTATGTCTATCTCAGGTAATGTGGGTCTTTTTTTTAGGAAGTGGTGTAAATCTCTGAAATTAGCAAAGTGTCAGTGCTCAAAATTATTCAAATTAATAACACTAACTTCATATGTCCTATCATCTACGTTGACTTGCTTTATAATCCTTAGGCACATCTATTAAGCCTGACAATAAGTGTGTGCACAAATTATTCCTACCTTTTAAGTACACTATTTCACAGTTGTAGTCTGTTATATTCAAACTGGATTTTCTTGTTCTAAATGGGAGAATTCAAAAGATACTTCAGCAGCTTATGATCTGTGTAGATAGTGAATTTCACACGATATAAGTAGTGGTGGAGGTTTTGCAGGGTATAGTGGATGGCATACACTTTTTTTTAACCTTCTCTGCATATAACTCAATTTGTGAGATAGGAAGTATACAGGTTTTTCTATTTCTCTCTTTATTTCTTCATCATATATCTGCTGCATTAAGCAAGCTCCAATCATTAAGTCCGATGTATCCGTGTAAAGTTTATATTCTTTTTTTAGGCTTAGGTATGCTAGCATCACCGATTCAAACATATCTTTCAATTGATCAAACAATTGCTAACATTCATCCCACCTAAAATGCACATGCTTCCTAGTTAATCTAAACTAGAGAATATTGGAATAAATCTTTGGTAGTAGGAGCACATACCAATAAACACCCCCGAACATGTTTGACAGTGGTAGAAGGGCTATGTTTTTACTATCTGTATTTGGTTGAATTCCAGTAGCACCGATTTAAACCATAACTATTGTGTCTTGGATTTAAAAAATTCACATTTGGATGGTTTTAACTTCAAATTGTGTTTCCTTAAGCTGTTGAAAACCATCAGTATGTCATTTAAATGGTGTTCTGTGGAATCAGAAAGCACTAAAATGTCATCCAAATAGAACAGAACATGCTGTTCCTGTCCCTGTAAAATGGTGGACATTAATTCCTGAAATAGACTAGGTGTGTTTGTCAGCCCAAATGGCATAATGTTAAAGTGGAATAAACCCTGATGACGCGTGAATGCAGTTTTTCTCTTACTACCATCCTTCTTCTCTACTAGCACCACTGGGAAACCCCATGAACTTCTAGATCTTTCTATAATCCCTGCATCTAACATTTCCTCTTAAGCCTCATCTACTAGCTTTCTTTGCATGAGAGGTGTGTGATATGGGAATTTTTTTATAGGCATGCGTCTGTCAGTGGTGATACGCATCTTCACTGTATCTGCCCTACCTAAATCTTTGTCATTAACAAATAGATTCATTTTTCTTAAACAGCTTTTGTATTCTATTTACTTCATAATATCATATGATATTTTAATATCAGGGATCGATTTTACACTGTAAGTAAAGATATGAACAGGACTCCTCTCAAAAAGAAAAAAAAAAAATCAATATTTTCGATTCGAACAAACGTCGCGGCTTGAGAAAGGTCTTTAAAAAAAAGAAAAAAGATTAATGCTCAAAAACTATTTCCTGAAAAATTTTGCCTATTTTTTTTTTTTTTTTAAACCAATCTAGTAACACTCACTAATCACTAATGATTTTTAGAAATTTTTCAAGGTCAAATAAAATTAAAAAAATCAGACGAAAATTAAAATGCATCATCATAATTTTAAAATACCGATTTTTCAAACTTTAACCATGTTTTAAAGAGGTGTTAGGAAAAAAAAAAATTTTTAAAGTTAACACTAAAGTAACTAACTTTAACACTGTCTTCTTGCCTTATTTCAAGAAAAAATTGGTGATTGGATTGGGAATTTCTCGACGATATTTGAAAAACATAGGGAACTTTTGAAAACTAGTGTTACTATTTTAATTTTAGAGTAATATAGATAAAAAAAACTGATTTTAAACTAGCAGCTGGTGAGGATTTTTTTTTCTACTGATGTAAGCGGATTTGCTTTTTTTTTTTGTCAGAAGTGAAGAACGAGTAACTTTTCTAAAAAGAGTAAAAGTAAAGACAGACAAGTAAAAGTTCATGCTGGATAATCTTAAAAATATAGGCGATTAAAGATATTGAAAAATGGTAACAAAATTATTTATAAGCAATTTAAAAAAAAATCAAAACGACTGCCATATCTACAATTACAAACATTATTTTTTTTTTTTTTTCCAAGAAAGAAAAGTGGCTTTATTTATTTTACATTTTTGTTGATACAACTCTGCAGGATTCAAACATGTCCGGGCATTTGAGAAATTAACATCTCACAGTAAATAAACGGTAAACAAAGTAATTTCCGTTAATTTTTTTTTTAAGTACAAAAATATGCCCCATAATTTATTTTAATTTTAACCTGCACAAATAAAATCTGTCCAACAATTTTTGTAGGTACGATCAGTCAAATTTTTAAATTTTATTTTAAAGCAAAAATACTGGTTTGGACGTCAAAATATTTTTTTTTTTAAAATTCAACAAAAATAAAATTTAAAGAAATTAACCTTAATTCTGGCAATAATTCCACTTAAAAACTTAGCAAGATAACTTTTCTCAGTTTCAAAAGTCACATTTTTAAAACAGTTTGTAATTTTATTAATGAAATCTAGGGAAAATGAATAAAGAAAGAATAAGGAGTTTTGCCTTAAGAAAAGAAATAAATTACAAATTAATTTTGATAAAAATAGTTTCAGGTTTAATTTGAAGAAAATTATTTTGAGTAAAAAAAAAAAAAAAAAAAACAAACGGGAAAAAGAAACAAAATAAATTTGACAAAAAGATTTAATGAGTTTGGAAGCCTTAAACAGACTTTAAAAAGGCAAGCCAAATTAACAAACTCTTGATTACGACAAAACGAAGTTATAGATTTAGATATTTAAAATAAAACATGAAAATAATACTTCGGTTAAGTAAGTACAAATTACAAGTAAACGATAAAAATGAAATAATAAATAAATGATTGGGGTTTTTTTTTGGTGGAGGGGGTTACAATGCATTTTTTCATTTCAATAAAAATAAAATTATTTAATTTAGTATTACTAAATTAAATAATTTTATCTACCATAATAAATTAAAATCATCTTGCCTGAGATGAATCCCAGATCGCATATTCCACAGTAAGGCATTATTGGATGATAAATCTGCGTTATGCTGATGAAAGCATTTAAAAATAATTTCCATAAAATGAAAAAAATAGGTTCGAGTGTCAACAAGCTTTTCGAAAATTGTAAAAGATAATATATGCATTAGCTCCCTTTAAGAAAATGTGTCTCCCGCCTCCGCAATCTCACTCACTCACTCTTTTTGAGTGCTTACGATTTTTGTGTGTGTGTGTTCAATTTATGTACGTTTTGATTAAGAAACGAAGTGTTTTTATTTTCGCTACTGTATTATTTTTATTTCGATATTTATAATTTTACATTAAAAAGAAAATAATCATATTTTCATCAATTTTACCGTGACACCTGAATCAGTGAATACTTTACGAAGGAAAGGAAGAAAGTGTAGAGACTAGAGAGCACCTGGTTGATTATATAACTATAAGAAAAGAAAAAGGGATATTTATACAAAAATAAGTGATATGAGCGAAAAGCAAAAAAAGTAATCTTCGGAAAGGGGAAGCAGTAGAAAAAATGCAATACTTATGTGGTGACTACTAGAAAATTTAAAAATCTATTAGTTAGTCTAAAAATATAATAATTAGTTAAAAATGTGAATAAATGTGAGTTAAATAAAAATCTGAGTTATAGCCTTATACACTTTTGAGAGAAATGTATTAAAAAGAAAGTGTAGTTTGAATGAATAAGCAGAGGAAAAGGTTTTACTTTTCTAGTGTCTGTAGAGAAAATGAGTGAATGATGGAGTGTTTCAAATTCTGGTGTAGCGGTCCAAATTCTAACATTTCTACTGCGAGTAAATTGAAAAGAAAGGAACCAAGGCTCAATGCCCCAGGTATCAATTTCTTTCCACCTCTCTTATCTTGCAGGCGTTGGTAGGTACGTGCTTTTAACCGTGATTCACAAGCTATTATATAAAAAAAATATATTCCCTACTAAATCCAAGTTCTCGTGCCAAACACAAAAACCGAGGAAGAGCAAGTCATAATAGGTGCAAAATAACAAATAAAACTCAACCACTGCGTAAAATTTTAAAACATTTATTACACAAGTACGAAAAAGGTACAAAATAAATACAACAAAGGTTTCACAAAAATTTCCTTTTGTGCGCCTATTAAAGCAGAATAATAATTTCTGATAAAAAGAAAAAATTACGATTTCAATTTAGAAAAAATACAAAGATTCAATGACAAAAAGAAACAAATTAAATATGTAACTGTCCTTATCCTGTGGGCACTCCCACATTTTTTAAAAACAATCCGAAGAACAAGCTTAAATAGCGTTGTTGTAAGACTGATTCAGAATATAAGAAAGGAAAGGCCTCATAGCAAAAAGATGAGAGAAAAAAAAAAGGAGAAACAGCGTCCCGCTGCCAAAATGACGAAGGTCAAAGGGTAGTATCTATATTTCAGCAGCAGTAGCTGACAGCTGGCCCATCAGCAGCAGTCCCAACTATCATCGTTTCCAACTCGCCATCGGCCGCCGTTCCAGGCATCTCCAGTAGTCCAGCTCCTGTCATCCTCGCCAGCATCAACTATGCAATAAACTCTTCAGCGATTACAAAACTGTCCTTCTCAGGAGAACGTTCTTTTCACTCTACATGAGCATGCAGAAATATTTGTTTCAGACGCACACAATCAATCGCACTCTTATAACTAGTTTTCATGTTTTTCCTTTCGTTACAATTATCTACACATGTAATTCCTTTTGTTAATAACATGAATTGTCGTTTGTGTTATATTCAGTGTTTCGGTATTATTTTTAATAATTGAGTCAGGCAGCATAATTATTTACAATCCTAAATTCTGATCCCCACAACATAATGACAACTACTAGTTATCCAAACATACTAGTATCCAGCAACACTTGATAAATACCCATACTTTCCGATACTTTAGCACCCTTGCATCAACTGCTTGGAAAAAGATGCAAAATGGAAATGATCTTCGCAAAAGGAACGAACTTGGAAAAAATGTCCTTAAATTCCGACAAATTGTTAGTACATTTCGATCCAAACAAGAAAGTTACTGTCGCTTGCGATGCTTCGCCATACGGATTGGGGGCAATGATGTGCTACATCATAGAAAATGGATTGCAGAGGCCCATTGCCTTCGTATCAAGGACACTTACACCTGCTGAAAAAATATGCCCAAAGAGGCACAGCTTTGGTTTTTGGTGTTAAAAAATTTCATCAATATTGATATAATGCTCGGGCGTTCGAAATATATACCGATCATATGACCCCACACACATACACATACACATGAATTGGGATATTTTCAGGAAAATAAAAATCCCTTAAATCGGTCCTGCAAGGATTCAGAGGTAAAGCCTACCTTTGTAGAGGGCCATGGCAGTTATGTTGGCGGTTACGGTTTGTTGAGAGAAGTCAGACGTGGACGAAACGCCTGTATGGTTCAGATACTCCTGCCCGCCGGGCCCAACTACATAAAAAGGTTGGACTTTGATTAAGTCCAAAGAAGAAGGAAAAGAAAGCAAACAAAACAAGACCGATAATATATGTATACACAACAAATATATATTCATAACAAGTTACAATACAGGGAAACAGTACGAAGGACAAAGTGTGTGTGAATATTCTGTATGTGCGTGCGTGCGTGTGTGAATATTCTGTGTGTGCGTGCGTGCGTGTGTGCACGCTATCCCTAGGTAGCGACTACATTTCGAGGTTGATAGTTAGAGTCCTCTAGGAAGCAGAGAAATTTACCTCGGGGTGTTAGTGCCCAGGCCTGAAAGGGAAAAAGAGGTCGAGGTGAAGGGTCATTGGCTATTTATAGCCAGGAAAGAGAGACCTCTGGTGAAAGGGTTACGAACTTGAAGGAGGAGGTAACTCCGACACCTTTGCCCACCAACATCAAGGAAGTCCCGTTGCCAAAGGAATACATCATGTTGTTGGAATACCTGGATCAAACCCCAGTCACTTATCAAGAAATTGCAAGTTGGATAAGTGTTGTAACCAAGTAATTGGTTAAGAAATAACAAAACAAGAGGTTGCAGATAAATAGTGTATTACACGACTTGGGAGTGTGTATCGGTTGACCAGAGTTCGGTCTATATCACTGTTTTCTCCCGAGGCTTACCTTTCCTACTACTAAGTGGAAGAGTCCACAATAGCCTCTTTGGAGGGAAGACACTACCCCCCCAGTTTTCAGCCTGACTCCACATGGAGCCTTTTTTTTTTTTTATTACCACACAATACTTTTTTATTCAACCAAAAAAAAAAAAAAAAAAAAAAAAAAAAAAAAAAAAAGAAAAGAAAAAATCAGCACAAACCACTTTGAAAAAAGCTATATGTAAGAATTACATCAGAAAATTTTTTTCTCTTTTGTTTAGATTACAACACGCCTTTCATGTGTTACAATAGTCTCTATTCATTATACCAAAATAATGAAAAAATATGTTAATGGTAAATCCAATGAGTATTGTGTTTTTCTGGTAATTCAAAAGTTTATACACGAGATATGTTTTTTTTTTTTGTTTTTTTTTTTTTTTTACTCATTCCTTTCCTTTTCTGTAGTCATGGTATGAAACGAAAGATTTTTAATATCCTTTCCTTTTCGGGTTCACTTGTAACGGTTCCGTGAACTTCTTTTTCCTTTTGGGCCTTCTGAGCTCTGATACCGATTGTGGTAATGGAACCTCGAATATGTCAAAGATGACGTCCATAGTGTCATCTTCTATAGGATCCCTGTCGATTATACTTTCATACCTTCTTCTGATTTGGTTAACATGACGTTTATGTACAAACGTCGGTCCCTGTACCATGTACATCGCGTTCCCAATTTGTTTTTCAATTACTCCTATCTCCCAGTGAGCTTTGTTATTCCCAAATACACGAAAATAAACCTTTTCGCCGATCTTAAAGCGCTTCTTAATCATTTAATTTTTATTACCCGCTTTTGTTTCATTCAAAGAAATTTGTCAAATACCGACTTTATTTTCCTGGCAAACATGACCTCCGTTGGCGTCTTGGCAGATAGAGCAATACTATTAGGAGTTACCCGATAGACCTGCAAAAACTCTCGCCTTCCTTAGTGTTCTCTTAAAAGTATCTACAAAACGCTCTGCCTGTCCATTACTTCTTGGGTGATATGGCACCGTGGTAACATGTTCAATCAGGAATGACTGACAAAACTCCTTAAATTCACACGATGTAAATTGTGTGCCATTGTCTGTTACAATACAGTCAACGACTCCGAAACGGGCAAATAGCTTGTGGTGATCACTTACATGTGCCCCACCTCCGCTTTCTTTAATGTCATTGGTTCATAAATATATGATACTTACTATATGACAATTTTGCCATCGCACATTATTTGAACTTTTCTCTAAAATCACGGATTGGTCCATTTCCTGGCCAATCGCGTATTTTAGTATCTTTCTAATATTTTTTGGCGCCAAGCTCACTTGAGCCTATGCATACCTAAACTATTTCGCTGTTAGCCAACATTAGTAGCGGTTCAATTCTCTGAATATATGGCACGGCGCTAACCTACTTATAACATAATTCTTAGTTATTACTCATTCAAGTAATCTTATTAACTTCTATTAATATAACTTGTGCACATTACATCTTTTCACACTCACAAACAGACTGTGGAATTATTCTTCATTGAGCTAAGAACATTAATTGAACTTTATAATTAATTAACATTTAATATTGTAACTCAACATTACTTAACTGCATTCACCCTTTTTATTACAGACAAAAGGGAAGTAATTTTTTCATGCTTATTGTTGATGTTTGTATATTGTTGTTATAATACAAATATTTATATAATGTTCATGGAGCTTGAATTATTTCTCTCATATATTCTGTGCATTTTTGATGTGGATTGTTGTTTATAAGAACACAGCTTTCCTTCTTGATTGCTATTACATTTCACGGTGACCCTAGCCAACATATCTTACAACACCACTACAAGCTCGTGTAGAAACTTGACTGTTATTTCCGCGGTCGGCTTCTTGCATTTCAATACTTCTGGCCA